ATTGGTTCATAACTTGCCCAACAATTTGCGCCTGCGCAGCTTTCGCTGCAGGAAGCACACGTCTTATTACACCTCGATTGGTTGTTCGTTTAGAAACACGCTGTTTTGGCTGCAGAGATGTAAGGGATGCAGTACACTGGCTTAGTAAAGACAGAAAAAATCCTATTTATAATCCCCCCTTAACAAGGGGATATAGCAAAGGGATTAAGGAGTGAATTTGTAAGCAAAAATAAAGCGTTTTCTGTTTAATTAAGTGTTTCGTCGGCAGTTTGGATAATAAAACCATTTGGTAATACCATACTACATCCCATGCTGGGTCCTGATGGGAGAAGAATAACAAGCATGCTACATTTTAAAAATACCTACCCGTATTTTCAAAATAATGCCCCCTTATTAACATGTTTATTCCATGATTTCTAGTATAATTATCGTACACAATTTAATTGTGAATTTTAAGTGATAGAAATAGGCACTACTAGTTCAGTAAGATATTCCTATTTAGTTTTATTGCAAGCATGTGTATGAAGTTACAGTTGAAGGACCAGGATCTTCGTTTGAGGTCACATATTGTAAGGAGTTCAATAGCTTTTAACACACAGAAAACTTGTATAAGGGAATATTTGTAACAAGCGACTCAGCTCTGTATCTAGTTCTGTTAATTCACACCAAAAGCTTAGCACACTTTGCCCTAAAGACAAAATTATTTTATTTACTTAGTGACTGCCTCGTTGGCCGAGTGGTCGCAAGGTCGACTGCCAGGCAAGGGGTCTCGGGTTCGATTCCCGGGTCGGGCAAAGTATTACCGGGTTTTAAAAAAAAAATTAGTAGTAGCACGAAGTCTGGAATTGTGCCCGGTATATGGCAACAGGCTCACTCCCTATTACATGGGACTCATAACATAAATAGTGAAAAGTGGGTGTTACATTGTAGTGGCATAATGTGCACCTCTGCCAACCCCTTCGGGGATAAAAGGCGTGATGTTATGTGTATGTAATACACACGTAATGAAGGACTTTGTTCCATGCCATTGATTGCAGGGACTCCCAACATTTGTGGCATCATATCAACTACCCTTTACCTTTATCTACACGATTCCTCGTACGCTTAATTTTCTTTGCTCCCAATAATAAAAAGGTGTGAATGCCGACGTTATTGGACACACTTCTGATGGCTGACGGAGGAAGTCAGCAATTTTACAGATGGCTACTTTAGCCAAGCACTGTATGAGTACGTAAACACATAATTGGGAAATGACCTATGCTTGATAAAGGCCGATCGAGTTAGCCGACTGCAAATTATTGAGGGGAACCATTTACGAAATTATGGATTACCTAGTGTAGGTAATTCTTTATTCGATGCCTTTTCAAACGGAAGGAGTGTGGTGGTATGGTTCTATGATATTTAAGCGTGGATAATTCTGCCTAAGGAAAAATATTTAAGAAACTTTAACAACTAGGAACCTGCTGTTATTGAATTGAACGTAGTAGTAAAGGGGCTTTTGAAGTTCGGAAAACTAAATGTGATGTTTGACAATCATCATCATCATCATCAACAGCCGGAAGACGTCCACTGCTGGACAAAGGCCTCCCCCTTAGCCCTCCACGTCGAACGACAACTCGCCGCCCGCATCCACTGGCTCCCCGCAACTCTGGCGATGTCGTCGGTCCACCTAGCGGGAGGTCTGCCCACGCTTCGTCTTCCGGTCCGTGGTCTCCACTCAAGGACTTTCCTGGCCCATCTGCCGTCAGTCCTTCGAGCGACGTGGCCTGCCCATTGCCACTTCAGTCTGCAGATTTTGCGAGCTATGTCGGTAACTCTTGTTCTTTGGCGAATCTCCATATTTCGGACTTTGTCGCGCAAAGAAACCCCGAGCATAGCTCTCTCCATCGCACGCTGAGCGACTTTGAGCTTCTCCAGAAGGCCAGAGGTCAGGGACCACGTCTCGGTGCCATACGTCATCACCGGCAACACACACTGGTTGAACATCCTGGTCTTTAGGCACTGAGGGATTTTCGATGAGAAGATTTCGCGTAACTTCCCGAACGCTGCCCATCCAAGTTGGATTCTTCGGGCGACCTCTTTGTCGAAATTGGACCTACCTAGCTGTATAATCTGCCCTAAGTATGTGTAGTGGTCTACAACTTCGAGGATATCGTTCCCAACGATGACCGGTACAGGTGCAACATGGACGTTTGACATGATTTTGGTCTTGTCCATGTTCATTTTAAGACCCACCTGTTGGGAGACGATATCGAGGTCGCTGAGCATGGTGTTTAAATCCTCCAGCGACTCCGCCATGATGACTACATCATCGGCGAAGCGGAGGTGTGTGATGTATTCGCCATTGATATTGATGCCCAGTCCACTCCAGTTTAAAAGCTTGAAAACGTCCTCCAATGCGTTGGTGAACAGTTTCGGAGAAATCACGTCTCCCTGTCTCACGCCTTTCTGCAATTGGATTGGTTCCGTGCTATCTTCCTGGAGTCGGATGCGCATGGTGGCGTTTCTATACAAACACTTTAGCACCTCGATATATCTGTAGTCGATATGGCATCGCTGGAGAGACTGCAGCACCGCCCAGGTCTCGATCGAATCAAAGGCTTTTTCATAGTCCACAAACGCCAAGCATAGTGGCAAGTTATACTCCTCAGTCTTCTGTATAACTTGCCGCAGCGTATGAATGTGGTCTATGGTGCTAAAGCCTTTCCGGAACCCGGCTTGTTCGGGAGGCTGGAAGTCATCAAACCTGCGTTCCAGACGGTTCGTGATAACCCTAGAAAACAGCTTATATACATGGCTCAGAAGCGAGATGGGTCTATAGTTCTTCAACAAAGAGTTGTCACCCTTCTTGAAGAACAGAACCACTACACTCCTTTGCCATGCTTTCGGCGTAGTTCCTTCGAGAATGACGGAATTGAATAGTTTCTGGAGGACTAAAAGTATCGGTTTTCCACCCGCTCGCAGAAGTTCTGTTGTGATTCCGTCATCACCCGGTGCCTTGTTATTTTTGAGCTGTCTGAGAGCCATCCTAATCTCATACAGGCTGATGTCTGGGATATCCTCGGTATAGTGCCGTGTCAGTTTAGCTCTAGGATCCCGAGCTGTACCGACAATGGGTTGCCGTGTCGAGGTGTATAACTGTCCGTAGAACCTTTCAAGCTCTCTCAGAATCTCTGGCTTCGACGAAACGATGCTGCCATTTTCGGTCTTCAGTTTCGTCATTTGGCTTTGCCCAACAGACGAATTCCTTGCGAATACTTTTGCGCCCTGATTTCGCTCTATGGCATCCCTGACTCGTGCGGCGTTATATGCACGCAGGTCGCGTCGCATAGACTTTGAAATTCGCCTATTAAGTTTGCCATATCCAGACATGTCAACTGAAGACTGCAGCCTCATCTCGTGTCGGTCTTTCAATATTTAAGTGTTTCTTTCGAGAGCTTTTGAGGTCTATTTCGGCGTGGGTTTTTGAAAAACTCTGAGCCCACCGTTTGGACAGTTTCCACTAACCCATTATTTAACTCGTCAATCGTTTCACACTCAGCCAGGCACTGGAAGCGATTATGCAGTTGGAGCTGGAACTGTTCGGGGTTCTGGACCTGGGCGCGACCAGGACGGAGTGTGGACCTCACCAGGCGTGACCTCTCCAGCTTGACATTGATATTCAGTGTGCCTCTGACAATACGGTGATCGCTGCCGGTTTTCACCTTAGCTATCACAGAGACATCACTGAATATGCGCTTGTCGGTCGCCATGATGAAGTCGATCTCATTTTTGGTGTAACCATCGGGACTTATCCACGTCCACCTCTTAGCTGGTCGCTTTCGGAAGAAGGAGTTCATTAAAAGAGTCTCTCCCTACCATAAAGTCGACAGCCGCTGGCCCCGACGGTTTCGCTGCCCATATCCAAATGGCCCCATTCTCAGCTCTTCGCCGTTCCGTGTGCCCACCTTCGCGTTGAAATCCCCCATGACAACGGTGAAGTGCGCTTCGGAGGTGTGTATGGCTTGGGAAATTTCCTCATACAGAGCCTCTACTTCATCATCGCAGTGTGTCGAGGTCGGCGCATATACCTGTATGACCTTCAGCGAATACCGGTGTGATATTCTGAGTATAAGGTACGCTACCCTGCTCGACACACTGTCAACTTTACTCACGTTGTTGACGAGGGACTTGCGGACGAGAAATCCGACACCACCCTGGGATTTTTGATCTCCTTCCCGGAAGAAGAGCAAGTTGCCGGAATCCAGGACCATCGTATCCTGGCCCTCTCTTCGGATTTCAGACAGTCCCAAGATGTCCCACCGCATTTTGCTCAATTCTTCCTCCAGCTCGACAATCTTCTCATCGGTCCGCAGGGTGCGGATGTTATGTGTTGCCAGGGCCAAAGTTCGTCGGGGGTGGTAGCGGTTCATCTGCCGGGGATTCTTAGCACCCCCTGCTCCGCCGTTACCCGATCCGCTACCAAGATCAGGAATAGCGGAGCTGCCGGGGACTGGGGGCCGTGTATTTAGGTTGTCGTTCATAGTGAGGGGGGGGGGGGTTTGCCATAATCCCCACGCTTGGCAGGCGGCTTGGGGATCGCAGTTAGGTCACCGATATATTTATGGAATGCTGCAGCCCATTCCTCGGTGTCTGGTCGCAGTTTTAGGACGTACCCGGGTCCCAAATTTGACAATCAATACTCCAAAACCTAAACTTGACTGCACGGTTGGTGCGGTGGCTGGGCAACCGGCTGCCGTGCAACGTGTTGCGGGTTCGATTCCCGCAAGGAACAACACTTTGTGTGATCCACAAATTGTTGTTTCGGGTCTGGGTGTCATTGTGTATGTGAACTCGTATGTTTGTAAACGCACCCACGACACAGGAGAAAATCCTAGAGTCTTTTGTTTTTTTTTAAGTTTTTTTAAAAAGAAAAAAGCACACTAATTTTTAAAATAGTTGAGGTTAAAGTGGTCACATGTCTTAGGTCAAAGATACTATATTTTCTATTAGTTACTTACCTTACTCCTCGGGTACACACTAAGCACGTCAGACCACCACCGCGCCTCCTCCCTGCAGGTTCCCTTCACGAAGGTCACTCGCTCCGGAGCCGTGATGGCCAGGCTATAGGAGTGCCCCGTCACACTGTCCGCCTCGCTCACCTCCAGGACTGTCGTCATGTCGATGCTGGCCTGAGGGACTGTGTCTGGCTGTGGAAGAAAGAAAGGTGAAGGTTAGAATAGTGTTTGCAATTTTTTCAACTTTCTAAGTTCATTTTATTGTTTAGACTTCACAAATTGAATGATAGAAGAAAAAAATCTAATTGTACTGTTTGTGAATTTCTTGAGAAGCTCATTGACGAAGTTTCAAACCGGTTAAAACCGATTGTCGATAAACTTTGTTTAAGACAAATTAATGTCGTCCATCAATAGTCTTGTTGAATTCATTTTAAAGTATATAGCGATAAACCAACCATAATTTTAGTTCGTTATGTTTATCATGAGTGCCCCCTTATTTTATTAAAACAAGCTTCACATATACACAGCACAAACGGCTAGAAAACTAATCACCAATCAGACATCATTAGACCAAGATCTTCATCCAAATCAAACGACTTTTTACCTTGACGTATTTATTAATGGGAGTTATTAAGCGAACAGCTCCCGTTCTTATATGAGATATAAGCAGAGAAGGTGCACATTTCTCCAAGTCACATTTCTAGACCGATGTTATATGTTAAAGTCTATTTAGTTGTGCGAACATATCTCATAGAGAGTCCAGCGATTACTTAACCCTGTAAAGCGGTCATTATGTGGCGCTTCTGATTTTAATTAAGCGTTAAACCTGCTTAGGGGTTTATTAATTGTGGTGTTTTAGATTATATTAAGGCGGAATGTTGAATAATATTTTTCTAGTTTGGAAGAATATTGGCATTGATTGCTTCAAGATCAATATGCAAATGATCGAACGCGACTGCCAGGGAAGGAATCGAATCCCGTGTCGCGCTATATTGCCTATTTTTTAATGTGAAGCTTCGAACGTTTTTATATTTTGATAATAGTGAAAATAATCATTAATTCAATAGTGTCACGATTTAAATTAGTCCGTCATTGTATACAGTTGTACATAAAGTGTTAAATAAATATATAAATAAAAAATAACCACTGAAATCGAACAACATTTTTAAACTAGGTACCAACATTAGTATTCAAGTTAAAAACTAGTTCAATTACCAAACATTTAGACCTTGCACTCCACAAACTTGAACCCTGGACTTGCAGTTTGATAGCTTAGGTCTGTAATTTAGTAGTTATCTGTTGACCTAGTGCTTATCCTAGCGGTATGCTAATGCCTAGATCTGTGGCTAACTGAATCTAACTTATGAATGATAGTGCATAAACAGAATCATAGGTATTATATCTTTAAGAAATAGACAGTGGTTAACTACGATTTGTATACCATAAGATATGTTAAAGCCAGTTTACAATTATTACCGGATACAAATATAGACTTTGTGGTATAAACCTATTCACAGAAATAAAAAAAAAAAACGCTTTTTCATCTTAGAAGTCCAAACTACTTTTATTAATTAGTTAGGCTATGGAAAAAAAACAGAATCACATCTCCCTTTCACAGCAATTACTTGAAAACAACTCCACGGTACACCCGTAAAGGATTAAAATTGTAAAACCGATCAAACAACTAACTACCAGATCATAAACAGAACAATTTTTAGTAACAATTTAATAAATTAAATAAATAATCATTTTATTACATTAATAATAATATTTTATTTCGATTAGCCGTCGTAAAGGCGGCCATTACCGTAGTTCCTTTTATGAGTGTCGCGACTCGCCACTACGCGCAAGCGCAGGGCTACTTGACGAGCGACGCCCGCGCATCGGTACTGAACGACCAGCACTTGTCGTAATGTCCTATAATGTACCGGCTTATCAGTATCTTGACGTTTTGCATACGAATCGACACTTGACACTGACAGCTATTTATTTATTTCGATTAGCAAATGCCTATAATAGAAATAGGATATGATTATTATTATTAGATTTACAGTGAAATGGTCGGGAGAATATTCCCCGTTTTAGTGGGGAACTATCAATGTAACTGTTATTATAACTCTTGTGAATTACGATTTAAGTTCCATTGAAGATTTTATTGAGAATAGGTCTGTAATATATTTCCAGCACTTCTGAATTGGGTTTTTGTTTGAACCGTATGCAGATTACAATTCCAAAAAAGTAAATCAATTATAATTTGATTGCATATTATGTAGCAGCAAAATAAGTAATTATAGTGGGTATATTTAATAACCATTTTTGGTGTACTTTCGAAAAGTTATGAAACATTCAATTTGATTTTATGATTGTCTTGTCTAAACTGACTGTAGTATTTATCTCAGCTTACGAAATACGTAATTCTAACTGCACTTTGTTGCGCCTGCGCAAGAAAGAGACAGAACATTCATTCAACTTCAAATAAATAATATATTACAAAACTGATTAATGTACAGACATTGACAATAACATGGTCTAATTTGATTTATTGAATAACTTTCGCCGTCTCCGCAAACGATTTGATTTGAGAGTTCAAATGCGCGTGCGCACCAATCTATATTACGTCATTATAACTGTTGCTATAGTAACGCGGTTTGTTGAAGGGAGATGTAACTGTCGATGATTTGAAGACAACATAAATGTCAGCATTTATATTGTTAACTATTTTGTTAACAGTAACTTGTACATTTGTATTATCTGAAGTTAAGCACTAAGTTAGTTTAGACCAGTACTTAGATAGATATGTAGCTGGTCTAATCTAACATATGCCCGAATACTGAAAGGTTACTCAATTTTAGGTCGTGCTTAAGTATAATTCTGTCTCTACAAATTCTATGTAAAACGACAGAGATAGCACGATATTTCAGTATAACTTAGAATTGAGTAGCCTTTTAGTATTAAGGCGTTATTTTTTTTTACACTTTATTGTACACCATAAAAACATACATAAAAAAACAAACATAAAAGAATGTGCACAATGGGCGGTCTTATCGCAGAATGCGATTTAGTGTCTAGATGGCGTTAGTGTCTAGTATCTAGTAATTAAGGAGATTCTTACTTAAAATACTACCAGTTATCGAGAGTGTGACAGGAATATCCTCTAAACTTTCAAAGATCGAAATGCAAACCAAGCGAGGAGATAGCGTACGGCGCGTCGCTTTCCACGCGCGTTTCAAGGCGCCATCAGATCATCACAGATGGGGCCCAATAGAGCCCAATAATACCGCTATGGAGCGGCGGAGGGTTTAGCGGGTTGCCAGGGCTCCGGTTCGAAGTGCAGGAGTAGGAACGGGGTGGTTTGTAGTCAGTAAGAGTCTTACACTCCCTCTCGCTTAACCCAAGGCGGGAGAAGTCATTGGATGATTTTCCCCCTTCAAAAAAAAGGTATTCAACCGGGAAAGTTGTTCTATAAAGAGTTAATAGAAATATACAAAATTATAGAAAGTTGAGGAAGGTAGTTTCACTTGTTCGAAGTATTTATTATTGGTGATGGTGACACATGATGGTTGAAGTTAGCAATTACCTCTATTATGTTGATTGAATCTCTCTAATTGTTGTTATTGTAGGAGACATGGTCTGTGTGTATTTACTGCCTGTTTTCATGGTGTTGTGAAGTTCAATTTTAGTGTGATTGAGTGAAAACAATAGTGCAGCTGGATTTGCTGTCTAAAGGAATAGCTAATACATAAATCTAGTATGGAATCGTTTGCACTTTATATATGTACCATGTGTCAATAATATTAATTGTTCTACACATGATTTCAAAGCTATATATATAAAATACCATAACGAGGTAATCGATGGTTTAGAACAGACGATAATCAGGTAATTGAATCATTGGGAAAAGCAACAACCATAGAACCAAATTGCAGCAATGTGCAAGAAAAATTTAAATATACTTTTATCATAATCCGATATCCCTGCCAAGACCTTTTGCTTCTCATAAGAAAACAGTCTACAAAATATTCCTATGCAACATTCAGCCATCATTAAAATACAAACGATATAAATAGTCTGTGCAGTCTGTGCTCCTGCTAATGATGCACAGGTTAGCAACGCGATGCTCCCACAGCCCGGAAGTGACGTCGTTCGTGACGTCATAAATCTTATAGTGGAACTTCGAACAATTAGCCTTGCACCTTTAACGGTACCAACCAACTTATTGTGACCCCTCATTTGTTTCTCGATCGCAATAATTTGGTTCAGAGAGGAGGTCAGCCGTTCTGGTCCTGGTGTAGTTGCCACATTATAGATTTGTCATGCTGACTGTACCGTTGGGTGTGGAGATGATTGGGTGGTTTGTTCGGCCATGTTCGATAAGATGTTACTTTTAGTGGCTCTAAGTGAAAATTTTGAATGATTGCTAGAAGTCGAAGTAAATCCAGAAATTATTTAAGCTTTTTAACCGTATAAGGAACAACGGATGCCTTCCAGTAGTAAACAGAACTGTATGAAAACTTATTGCTTACCAGGTACACTAGATAGTTTGAAAAAAGAGACCTTTAAAAACTTATATTAAAAATATCTCAACACAAACGCTACTGAATCTTTTACACAAAATTAACATCTATTGACAGCACCTCCCCTCCCTCCCTCAAAGACGGGGTATCCTCAAATACCTTCATTAAAATCCCCCACACAATTCAAACTCTAAGTGTCACAGAATTTAACACCGTTATATAGGTTTGTCGCCCACGATGCGCGTGCGCAGCCCGCGATTATCCCTAGAGTTATGGACCTCACGCACGCAGTGCCATCACCCTGGGGTTATCGAGGGATAATGGATCAGAAACTCTGGGGACGGAAGACAAATAATTTATATTTTAACGGTTCGGGACGTGATAACTGTTTCGAGAATAGTAATTTACAGAGCCAAAGAGTTAGGATCAATCAGGATCGATATACCTATTTCGGATTGTTGTCCTTGGTTTATAGGACCTATAGGTTGATTTGTAGGAAAACATTTTGCGCAAAAATTATACAATTTAAAACAAGTTCCAAAATGGAAACTACCGTAGAAAAGTCAGTCTGCCGAAATTGTACATCAGAGATATGAGCACTTATTACTTAGCTATGATGTCAGTACACGGTGGTAATGCAAAATGGTATAAGCACAGGTTAATCTGAATCTGAACACA